CTCGTACCGGAACATCATCAGCACAATTGGGACCCCATCTTGGGCCGCTGTCACTTAAACTAGAGGAACAGGGTCTTCAAAACGTACAAAAACTTCCCAGGTAACAAGAACATAACATGTTTCGTGTACTTCTCTCAATCAGGAGTATAGCAGGGCTGGGGTGGGCTTGGCTTTCACTTGATAGCTGGGTGGGCAAGGGGGGCAGCTGCCAGGCCGGCACATGCCGCCAGGCCCTAAATTGTTGTTTTGGATATGAACTGCGTGGCTTTTTTGTTTTGGGGTGTTGGGAGAACTGTTGGTTCTGTTGTCTTGGTTTTGCCGGGAATGGGTTTGTGTCGATACTGCTGTTTGTTTATTTCCGTTTTGAATTAGAAAGGCTGGTAAGGCCATGGGTGAGCTTGCGAACTCTGGGGACAGCAATGCTAAGCGCAACGGTCTGGCCTGAGCTTGAAGGGGACAACAGTGGGACAAACTCCTGGTGTTGAGAGCTCCGTATAAACCTGGGCTTCTGCCAGGGTCTGAAGCTTTGGCATGCCATCCAGGGAGGGACTCAGGGGCATCCAGGCAGCCCGAGCGTCTCCTTGCCTGGGAACTGCACACTACAGCAGGCTGGCATGTACGCGCTTGACAGACCCAAGCGGAGGCCAAGACAATGCGGAGAGTGGAGGTGTAAGGCGGGCGAAGCGAAGAGAGAGAAGCTAGGAACTCAGGGTGCTGCCAAGCGAGCCCCTGGCCCTGGCGCTGCTATGGGCTCGGGGAGGCGCCGCAACGTGGCGCGGTAAGGAGTTTCCGTAAACCAGGTACCAGCATACTACTACATCATACCCTCCTGAAATTGAAGTCGTCGCTATCCAGGTATACATCTGACGCAAAACGCTGAATCACAGCGGTAGAGTCTGACCCTTGAAGCGGCTCTTCTTATGGAGTCCAAAGTGCTTGCCTTTCAGGAGTTGAAATTCTTTGCATTAGGGTGACGAGGAGGCTTCGACATGCTTCCATGCGTTCAATCCTTGCATTTGCTTCAGCGCCTCGTCCTTGCTCCCAACCACCAGCTCCAATGGGTGACGCATCAAAAAGAATCCTAGGCATCTGTAAAATAATCAAACACGAGTCAAAAAAAAGAATGTTTGCGCCCGGCATCAAAAAAGACAAGCATCAAGAAAAAACTGAGGGCCATAAGAGTCTAAATTCGCAAGAAGAGAGAAAGGGGAATTACTGAAATGTATTCTTCCTGAGCA